AACATGGCGCACGTAACACCACCCGCATAAGTGTGCCGCCATGTAGAGGCGTGGCATTCCCACGGCGGCAGCCCTGTGATGAAGACATGTAAAGGTGGCATTCTTTATTAAAACATTGTTGTTTGAGAGCTTTTGTGTTCTTTACATTACTTTATTTTATAACATAAAACTTAAGTAGTTAACTAGAAGAAAACGTAATAGATATAAGTAGCAGATTTGAAGAAAATGATAACTTGGAAGTGTTGCCACTTGAATACTGATGGCGCCACCTGGCTTTTGACTCAGGTGGCAACATGCGCCACTTGGCTGAAAAAAGTATTTCGAGCCCTGTGACTAAAATTTGTAAGTGCCCTCATACAAGTTTTACTTTGTTACTTAAAATGTGTTGTATAGAGATCGACAAAGTCTAAAAAAAATATGATCCCCACCTGCACAATGTTTCTACCAACCCTAATTTTGGGGGGGACTTAGACCGGAAATGCAACATTTTTTTTCTAAGACTTTTTTCTAAGGCCTAAGATTAGTAAGAAGACAATTTTTCCTTGGTCCTGACTAAGTGGTCATCTTAGACAAGTTGGACTGAAGATAATGTCATGCCATTTTGGCATGTTATTTGACTGTATGTATGCCTGTGATGTAACAATAACAGATAGATAAGGAAGGACAATGATTGTGTTCCTCCAGCATACCTGTACCTGTTGGGTTGTGACCCTAACCCTGATGTAAGACGTGCTATCCTGTCGTGTATCGCTCCGTCCACTCACACCCTGGGCGGTGTGCTGCAGAGGACACGGGATGTCAACCAGTCTGTACGCGTTATGGCGTTCAAGGTCAGTTTTCTACTTGTTTGTTTTTTTGTTATGTTTTTGTTTGAATCCAGGGTGCAAAATCCCACCTGCATATGCTGGCCAGTGTAAGTATAAAATTGGAGCTGTGCAGGCATTTCTAAAAAAAAAATTGTCTACCTGCAAGTACCTTTACAAATTCTTAGAAATTCTTAGGGGAGAGGTGTTCCCTAATCGGTTGATGAAAAATCAGCAAATTTTCATGAAAATACTTAGTTTGAACATTTTGGGAGAGGTTCTAGGATTTGGGGCAAGGGGGAACACAAGGCTTGCTTCATTGCTTGGGAAGAGAAGGATTGTATTGGTATATAGTAGTTAGAATCTATGTATGTTGATATTGAACTTACTTAACCTGTTCCCCTGTTCAGGTCCTGGCGGAGAAGTTCCACATCCGAGCCCTGACCATCGCCCAGCGTCTGCAGGTCCTGCAGCAGGGTCTGAACGACAGGACAGAGGCGGTGCGTGAGGTGTGTGGGACCAAACTGCTGCAGTCCTGGCTCAGGCTGTTTGAAGGGAACATACTGGATCTCCTGGGGTGTCTGGATGTGGAGACTACCTGTGGTACAGGTATGTATGGCTGGCAGTGTTCTAGCCAGCCAGAAATTTTTTTCATCTCAATTTTGGAATAATATCATGCAGAGCACCAAAGGTGCAACAATCCTAGGGGTGTCATGGGCATGCTCCCCAGGGAAATTTTGAAATCTAGACCCTCAAATTTTGAGGGATAAATTTTTTTTTCTGGGCTTTTATTTACTGCATTCATTTTTATCACCTAGGCATTCACTGTTGTCACCTAAGTATAAATACCCTGGATGCCAAACTAGTGTCGGGCCGTTAGCCGTTTTCCTTTGGCAGCCGAGAGCCCTTCGCCCGCCTGCCTAGGTGCAAATTACCGCCACTGGGGAGTCTAGCCTGGGGGGAGTTTGGCTGGCCCTTTTTGTCGGGACAAAAAGGGCCAGCCAAACTCCCCCCCTTTGTATATACACAAGTGTATATGTTGTTACATCTAACAGATGAGGACACAGCCACAGGAAAGACTACAGGAGAGGAGACCATTGAGACTGCTGTCATGTCCATGTTCAAACAGACACCTACAGACGAACTCATCAGTAACTTTGACCTTCTGGGGGAAAGGTTAGAACTTGCGCTTCCTTGGGGGGGGGGATGTATTGTGTTTCACTGGGATCCAGGCTATATTGTTTGAAAACGAGCTTCTGAAGTTTAAGGTTCTCACTCTTCTCAATATTATGGTACGTGAACTTTATATGTGATTGAAGCTATATCTGACACTTAAATTTTTTTGTTTTCTAGTTACCTCTTACTACTTTTTCTAAAACCAAAATGTTGCCCATACTTACATGTTCCAGCTCATGTTGCTTTATCTCTTTTCAGCCACGTGATTCCCCTGGACAGCCTGACGTGTGAGTCGGCCCTGTACTGGCGCTGCCTGTGTCAGTATGTGAAGTCTCTGGGTACAGATGGGGAGGAGTACCTGGATAGACTGTTACCTAACCTGACTGCCCTGTGTGACTATGTACAGAGGTGTGTTTGTGTGTGTCTGTGTGCATGCCTGTGTCTTGTGTGTGTGTGTCTTTGTGTGTGTGCCTGTGTTGTTATTACTTTAGCTAATACCACTTAATTTCTGAAGCATATATTGTAAAGTTGTCTGGTTGCCCAGTTTTTCTCACAATCTGCCTTCAGATAGAAGGGTCAAGCTTAGTAAATGCAGTTCTTCATAAAGTCACTAGAGAGCACATATCTAACACAGAGTTTGTGTATTTTACAACCCCAGTCAGATGCAGACCAGTGAGTACCCAGAGTTAGTTAGACATGACCTCGGCTGTTCTGCAGTTCTTTAAAAAGTCACTAGAGGGCACACATTAAGCACAACCTATTTTACATCCTACCACAGTCAGCTGCAGACCCTGCCCAGTGTAGACAGTAGACAGGGTGGGTTAGAGTCTTACTAGACATGACCTTGGCTGCTCTGCAGTTCTTTAAAAAGTTACTAGAGGGCACACATTAATCACCAACTATTTTACATCCTACCACAGTCACCTACAGACCCTGCCCAGTGTAGAGGGAGGGTTAGACATGACTTCAGCTGTAGACGACCATCTGAGGAAGGAATTTGTAGCTCAACAACTGATGATGATACTGGGCATCCCTGACCTCACCGACGAAGTGGGACGGTAAGAAACAAATGTTTATGTGATTTCTATTTATGTTCATGTTTATGTTTTGGTGTCTTACAAGCCCATATGGGCTGGGCAACAAAAGTCGCAAGACACGTAAATAAAAATTCATTCATTCATTCATGTTAAACATAAGTTTAAAAACCTGGGGTTTCAAAAATTGATGGAGAGGAAAACTTTTCTTTACACTACTCTAGTACATATACTAATATTGTACAAGGATCACAATACCACGTATTGCCAAGAAGAAACTAAGCAACTACTGTACATGTAAAATGTTCCAGGGTGCAAAATACTTTTTTCTGCATTTTTTTCAGGTGCACAGGTCTAACTATTTGAAAATTATCGGCACCTGACAAATTTCACTATTTTTTTTAAACCAATTTCCAATCATCATTTTCCTCCAAAACGGGGGTTGGACGTGCTTGCATCAAACTCAAAGTGCAAGTCTTGTTTTGGAGCAAGATTTTCACCAACACCAGAATTTTGGAAGTACGTGTATGGATCAAACTGTATCAGGGGTCTCCCCAGGCAATGGTGCAACGGCGGTGCGCCACTCCCAAAAATTCTAGCGCCACTCCCAAAATTTTCAAATTAAGGGTCTTCTCTTCGTATTTTCGCGGATAAATAGGCAAAAAACATCGAAATCTTGACGCGAGTGGCGTCCATTTTCCCGTCGGCATTGTTTCTGAAAGTTGTGAATGGGCGATAATCGAGTAAACAATGACCATTTCGCACGACGCTACCGAGAGAATAGCTGTCATTGGTGGAACATCGGGCGCCCCGCTAGCGTTTTTAAGTCATGTAAACAACGCTAATTGTCTGATTGGTTTGTAAAACAAAGCCCTCGACCCCGAAAATAAGTTTATAAAGCCGATGCGTTTACGAACTAGCCGTGGAAAATTCCCTACCGTACCGCACCATCAGCATGTGGCGCCGCAAAATTCGGTTAACGCAACAGATAAATGTCTGTGCCAGTATAGCGGCATTTCCCATGAAAATAATGTATATTGTTTATTTTTCGCCTGCTGTCGGTTTTTAAGTTCCAAAACGTCTGAAAAAGCAGAAATTTGCTCACAAAACCGGACGGGGGAAGGCGAGTCGCTATCGGCGTGAAGCACATGGCGAGGCCTTTTTAAAAATCGGTAACGCGGAAGAAAAATGCGTGGTCCATTTTAGCGATATTTACCATGAAAATAACGTATGTGGTTTATTTTCCCTCTGGTGTTAGTTTTTAGGTCCCGAAACCCCTAAAAAAGTAGAAATTTTCCCATAAAACGCACGGCCGAGGGGTGGGAGGGCGGCCGGCACAGAGCTGCATTACCCGTAAAAAGTCAAAGGTCATAGTGCACGCATATTACGCAATCACCCTAAAGCGCCGATTTAGGGCGTTTACAAAATTGATAAAATCACATTATTGATTTTTAGGAAAACAATGGGATGGAAACTAATCAAAACTTTGTGCTGAATAATTTTTTTTCTTCAGTAAGTTTTTTTCTTCAGTAAGTTTTTTTCTTCAGTAAGTTTTTTTCTTCAGTAAGTTTTTTTCTTCAGAAGTTGGTTTTCTTCAGTAAGTTTTTTTTCTTCAGAAGTTGGTTTTCTTCTAGTTTTTTTCTTCAGTAATTTTTTTCTTCAGTAATTTTTTTTTCTAGTTTTTTCTTCTAGTTTTTTTTCTTCAGTAAGTTTTTTTTCTTCAGTAAGTTTTTTTTCTTCAGTAAGTTTTTTTCTTCTTCAGTAAGTTTTTTTTCTTCAGAAGTTTGTTTTTTTCAGAAGTTTTTTTTCTTCAGAATCCAGACTTTGACCAGACTAGACAATGTACCATACCAACTAATTATTATGTTGAAATGGATGTGTATATTTTGTTGTACAAATCAAATACTCATTAATGCCCTACATTTGTACTTAATTTGGCTTGATTTTCTATCTCTTTAGTTAGTAAGATTTTTAACTCAAGTTGCAGGAAAAGGCTACAAACTGCATTTCAGAAGGGTAAAATGCAACAGCTTCTCCTACAGAGAGGGGGGGAATCCCCCCCCTCTCCGGACCTCTCCCCCCCTCACAGCCGAGCTTCGCGCGGCGTCGGCTACTGCGTGCCCTCCAAAAAAAAATCCAGCGCCACTCCCCTAAAAATTCCTGGGGAGACCCCTGTAAACTACAAAGTGTTCAGAAACTGTTGCCATTACGTCTTTTACAGTACACTCCATAAGTGGTAACAGTTAATGCAAGTAATAAAAATCTACAGGATTGTACATAGCTACATGGACAACAGAAATACCTGCACAGCTCCAATTTTACCTGCACTAACCTGCATATGCAGGTGGTGTTTCGAGCTGTGTGTTCACTTGCATGTACATTTTAATTTTTGCTCTCTCAGACACAACTGCCTCTCTCCTCTGTCCAGGAAGCGGCTTCGCAGCCTGGTACACGACATGCTCCTGTCTGACAACATGACGCGCCCCCTACTGAAGCTGCTGATCCTGCGGTACTGCAGCGTACAGACAGACCAGGAGGCACGCATACGCGAGCTGGTGGAGGTCATCGCTGACATCCGCGAGCCAATTACGGTGCTGGAGACATCCTTGAGTCAGGAGCAACTGAGGCAGAAGGAACTCAAGGTGGGATTGGTCAGATGTCAGAGTAAGAAGGTGGCAAGATTGTTGTTAAGGTAGTTGACTCGGGTTCCTGGTTCAAAATCCGTAGGAAAGGCACCTTACACACATTTGCTCACGAGAACATAGCGTTGGTCAGGGATGTCCTTTCGGAGTTAAGAAAGGTAAGTATTTGTGGGTGCACCGGTGCACTTTGTGGCGTCATGGCGAGATCGACAATTCATCGACAATTCACAGGATTGTGCCGACAATGGAATGAATTTTCCCGGAACTTTTCCGATTTTGAAAAAAGAAATAAACGTACCGTCTAAAATAAGAATGTACCGGGTGGATTTTGAGGCGAAAAAAAATAAACGTACCGGTACGTTTATTAAAGAGGTGAGAGTAAGTATATAAAGATATCAAATGTATATAGTATACAGCATATTCTTGACATCTAACTTAGCTAAGTGTCAGAAAAGTAATAAAAGATTATTCTATATGGTGCACCTGAGGGCTCATAATACTGCTCAGTGGGTGCATGTGCACTTTAGTGCACCCAAAATTGGAGTTGTGCACCTAATTTTTTTCTGTGGGTGCACTGGCACCCAAATATTTTTGTAGGAATTTTTAACATTAGAAATGTATAATAGTATACTGGATATTCTTGATCTCTAAGTATCAGAAAAATAATAAAATCTTTGTTGTAGTATTTAAGATTTTGAAGTTAGCTCTCATTTTAGATTTAAGCTCAGAAGAGGAGCAGTATGACCTGTGATTACGTTTGTTTCATATGGTGCACCCAAAAAACTTTTTGTGCACCTAATTTTTTAGGTTAGGTGCACCAGTGCACCTATTCCCAAAAATGGATTTTGAGCCCTGGGTAAGTTTTGCAGGTATCAGAATGGTGATAGAAGGAGAAAAATGGGCTCTGCCTTTCAAGTACCATACCCTCGACACAGTGGGTTAGAACCCACTGCTCCTAGCTTGAAAATGACTATGGGACTACACTGTACCTACCTTGAATATACATTTCTGTCTATTCCAGCTTGCGTCTATCCGTGTGAAGCTGAATGAGGCTCGTGAAGAGATGGACCAGCTGGTGGCCGTGCAGGAGTTCCAAAAGGCTGCTGAGATGAAGGGGCGAGTAGAAGAGTTGGAGCTGAACAAGTCTGATCTGATGGAGAAGATGCAGCCCCAGACTCAGGAGGTCAGGACTGAGAAGGTAGGTTCTATGTTATCCTGAAATTTTATTATGGGTTCACCACACCACGAAGTGGTGTGGTGAAACCATATTGCTTTTTCTGATGTTTCTTCTTCTTCTTCTCCTCCTCCTCCTTCTCCTCCTGCCATTTTTTAAATGGATTCAGCTTCTTCATTTTAGGGCCCAAGGTCCTGAAATTTGGTATGGAGGTACAGTGGGCAAATACCCCTAGGCGTTTTTTAAATTATTGTGATACAGGCTTTTAGAATGGTTTTATTTGAGTTTTTTGGCTGTGTTATAGCAAATGTATTACTGTGTTAGGGTGCCTTGTTTACCACGTTTGGACATGAGTCATCACAATGGAATGCAGGGCATCAACCAATAGGCATGCAGCTTTCCTCTATACTTCTTGCTGATTGGCTGTTGGGATTTAACTTGATTAACACCTGCACAGAAGCATTTCCATACTGACAGTATGTCTGTATTCAAGTGTTTTGGTAGGTATTTCAAGCTTTCCTGCTCCAGCAGTGGAATGCCGGGCATGGACGTTTTTTTATTTTGAAAATCAACAGTTTGCATTATGCAATTAAAAATCCTAACCAATAAAGTAGGGAATAGCTATCCAACAGTGTTGTTTTAGTTGTATTTTACTTCATATTATAGTTATATCAATGTAAATCATTGTTTTCCCTTGTGTTTCCCATTCTTTCCCTGCCATGTCGTAAAATGTGGTGAACCCATCGCTGTATTTGCTCCAAAGCAAATATTGGCCTTTCTAGTCTTTGTTAGTAGTTACATGTTAAAGTTAAAACCTTTGGATCCTGAGTTAAAACTTTTGATCCCAAGAACTTTTTAGGTTCTGTGTCATCATTTTACATCTTCTATGTCACAGAATTTTTTTATAGGTTTATAAATATAAGTCAGTTGATCCGGAATGCAGTAAAATTGCACTACCTCTGTAGTTATTTCCTGAGAAAATTTTAAATCTGAATGTCTGTTTCCATGTTGTAAGACTAACTCTTAGGGGTAGGATTGTATTATTTTCCTATCATCATTGTAATGATATTGATAGTTGACTTCAATTTTTTTCTCTAAACACATACTTAAAAACTTATCGACCTATGTTTACAGAAATGTAGTAGCTATAGTATAGGATTCCTCGAAGTCTTGACTATTTCCAAAGACCATGTATTAATACGTCGATGAAGGTTAGACATCCAGGTAATACGATACGCCAAAAAACAGTTACTCAAGCAACTGGAT